AAAAAAAAAAAAAAACGAAGAAGCAATAGTTGACAATGGGAAGGTCTCAATGGTGATTTAATGAAGCTTTTTGGGATGCTCTTGGAATAAAAATAATAATAATTATCCAGCTTAGTTAGTGCAAGCTAGAAGTGCATTATATATTCTATGCTTGAAAAAGGCATTTGTGGGGACAATTATTCTATCAACCTTGCCCCTAGTGGTCTTCTAATTATCTTAACAAATATATTTATAAAAAAGAAAAGAAAAGAAAAAGAATAGAGTGAAAGAATATATACCAACAAGGATCGTAGACGAGTCTTAAGTATTTTTGTAGACGAGTCTTAAGTATTCTATCGTACTTAATCAGAGGTTTCAATCGAGTCTTGCATAGGAAATTATATTTATTAAAAAATATTTTACCCGGATAATTATGTCGAGCCCCGATACCAACATTGGACACCGGATGAGAAATTTAAAAGAGAAAGAATATATCTTTTGATGAAAAAGTTCATGATAGTCTAATCTATAATCTAGTTGTTAATAGGCTTTTTCTACTTATATAATCTTAACAAGGTCTCAATGCATTGATCCAAAGAAGGATTAGTACTTATGAATTTTCACTAGCTAGCTTGATCTATTTATTTAATCCCACGTGGTCCCGATTTCATTTCTTTTATCTCTTTCTTTAATTATATTCTTCATTAGCTTGGCCTCAAATATGCTAATGGCATTTTGGAATATATGTAATTTAATGAGGTATCATAATTATAACCATTCAAAATACGCTTTAACACATGATGAGTAATTTAATTAATATGAGGCCTATCCATTTTGTATAATAAAAAAGCTGGATGATATTTTCAGGAAAGAAAGAACTTACTATAGAAATCGTCCTTTCTCGGTGACCAATTCTATTTTTAAATTGGTTTAAAAGAAAAAGAATGTCTAATTTTATTTACTAACAGTGCAAAAGATATGCATACAGTTATAACTAACACTTATTCTCTCCGTCCAATTTATGTGAGGGAGTTCGAATTTTGAGAATCAAATAAGTTTTTCTTTGATTTCGATTTTTTCATATGAGTTTTAGATCTTTTGAATTATTAACTATTGTGACTTATAGTATTTTTTAAATATATTATATATATATATATATAAATTTTATTTGAAAAACTTTAAAAATTCTATATCCGAATTTAAATCAAAATTAAGAAGTTTATCGCTCAAAATTCGAGCTCTGCCACGTAAATTAGGACAAAGAGAGCATACGCTAATTACGAGTAAATCTTTACAAGAAATATTTACTGCTAAGCTGAAACTTTTATTGTCTAACTTGCTATAACATGTTAAAGTATATTGATAATAAGAAAAATATTTACTAGATTAATGTATAAAATTTTAAATTCAAGAAAAAATGAAAAGAAGAAAAAATAAACTAATATTTCTTTTAAAAGAAAATTGGATTTCAACATCAGCATTGCGTCTATGCCGACAGGAGAGGGGAACTAGAGCCTGGAAACAAGCAGATTGATAGCTGCTTTTCTATTTTTAATTATTTTCCTAAGCAAAATCATTTTTAAGATATTGTTGTCAAATTTGCTGTACTTGATGATGCTTTGGTGGTCGGAATCTTCAAAAATATTTTAGGTGCGTGTAGAGTTCGATCACACCACCATCACTTTCAATCTCATTCAGATCAACTGAAATATTTATATTTAGACAAAACGAAGACGAGAAAAGTACAGTAAAACGAAAATTTAAGAGAAGAAACACAAAAGGAAAAGAAAAAAAAATCTTTCCAAAACATAAAAACAGTAGAAATTTGGATGTCTTATCAAATATCATTATCTTCTTTAATATAGATACATAGCCATTTATTACAAACTTCAAAAACAATAACTCAACTTCTTAGCATATTATATACAAAAATAAGGAAATAGAAAGGAAAAATAAAAGTAAAGGTTCAACGTGGAGCTATCTTCTTTTAACCCTGGAGGAAAAATATTCTTAAAGTAAATTTTAAAGAAATATAAAAGATAAAAGGAAAAGGATAAAAAAAATACCTCTTTATTATACGAAAATATTTAAATTTAACCCCAATTATACTTCAGGTGTTATACCTTTGCCTTTAGCAAATTATTTCATAATTTTCCTTGATCCTAACATAGTTTCAACTTAAAGTATAACATAGGGCAATCTTAAATTATAGTTAAAAGTAGAAGTGTAAATTTAAACTTTTCTCTTGATATATTTTGACAGGTGAAATTCACTAAAGTCATATTGAAGCATCGATAAACACTAAGACAAATATCAAACCATTTGCTAATGGCAAGGAGACTCCAAAGTATAACGGATGGTAAAATTATGATATGACGTATAATAAAGTGGTAAATTTTTAACATTTCTCACAAAGAGTAAAATAATAAATCATGATTCACTTGGAGTCTCATAAATGCTTTCTAGATGAGGTCTCCATACTCCAACTCTTCCTCTCCTTCGATCTCTTTGTGTTGACACCTTCTCCAATAAAATATCACTCAAGTACTGATCAGAAACTAGTAAGTTAGCATTGTATCCATTTTCGCGATCTTCTGACGAAGATGACCTCATCTTTTTCTTCCTCGTCGGTGTCCGAGACCGATTCTTCGATTTCTTGGGTGCAGATGACGAAGAAGAAGAAGAAGAAGGTGGCATTGGCATGAGGAAATAGATCTTCCCACGTTGAAGCTCAGCATCAGGAGGGACGATGACAATTTTCGGACAGATTGATCCTTCATCTGAAGAAGAAGAAGACGAAGAAGAAGAAGAAGAAGATGAAGATGGTTTTTTTAAAACATGTTTTGGATGATGTTTCATGATTTCAGCTGCTTTTACATGATTTCCACTTATTTCTTCAACTTTACCATTTGTATGAACTATTCGAATTACATCAAGTGCCCCACAAGGTAGAATACAAGCTATACAACATCTAATGGCGTTTTTCATAGCTATTTTTTGTAGCTCTTCTCTTTAATTCTTTTGCTCTCTTTTATTTAGATATTCTCCCAAAGAGAGAAGAAGAAGAAGGAGGAGGAGGAAGAAGAGGGAAGTGAAAAAATATAGAGAAGGAAAGAGAAGTCTCTTTATCAAATGAAATAAGTGTAGTTTTCTCCTTTTTGTTTCCTTTTGGGTAAAATGATGATATTATTATGTGCTTTCCCTACTTACCTTTTTCCTTCTCCTTTTGTGGATGCTTCTTCTTTTCTATTTTCTATTTTTTATTTTAAGTTATGTAGATTAGTTATGTAAAAATATATATTTAAAGAATTAAGCTATGAGTCTGTAACTTGTAACTTGATAAAAATAATAATTCATATGTTACTCCCTTCATTCTCATTTAGTTGTCATATATTAAAATTAGTTCTTCCCAAATACGTGTCATTTTAAAAAATCAAGAGAGATTTAATTATTTTTTTTCAACTTCACCCTTAGTATTAATTATTCTTAAAGTGATTTAAAAAATTTAATCTAGAAAGAGGCACGCAAATAGACAATGATTAAGGAATTAATAAGGGGCAAATTAGTCATGTTACTCTTTAAATTAATATTTTCTTAATAGGGACTTGTTCCGGCAACTAAATAAAAACGGAGTGAGTATAACAAGTTAAATTAAATTTGTAGTGTGAAAAAGTCTTATATTATCAATACATACAACTTAAATCCTCTTTTATTCAAAACATAAAACTAAAGTCACTTGCTTATTTGGGGTTGAAATATATACCATGGATAATTGAACCTCATTCTGTACTTTGCCTTTTGGGACTATCAATCAGGATCCTTTTGCCTTGGACATTCCCCTGGACTGGGGGTAAATGCAATGTTTAACAAACGGGTTCAATTAAATTTATAATATTCGATGTAAATTAAAAATTTATATGTAAAAATTTATTAAAATTACAAAAATAATAGATATGAATCCATAAGTTTAAATATATAATGAATTAAATAAAAAAACTTTAAAAATTAAATCCATATTATTAAAATCCTGGATTCGCCTCTGACCTCCACTAAGTTCAATAATGGGAGTTTTGCTGGACTAAGTATGAAAGGTTGGGGCCTTGGGGCTTCTGCCTTACTGGTGACCCATGTTTGTCCATGATTGGAATTGCCAAGTCAGCTCAAATGGGGTCCACAATTTTTTTAAAGAACAGGTGTTTGTACCACAATATGACACGTGTCCAGAGATGGATGGTTGAATTTCTCTTGGTTGGAGTAGGTGAACAAGCTAATTAGTGTAGGACAGTATGGTCCTTGTTCAAGAAAGAGCCAAAGAGAAATGTAGGAAGAAGTCTTAGAAGTTTTAGTTTCAAGCCTAGCTCATTAGGTGAATTGGAGTTTAACTTCTTTTTCTAATCATATAGTAACAAAGAAAGGTTCTTTTTGTTTTAAGGAATACATTTTCTTCCACTAAAATAAGTAAGTAGAGAAGATAGTAAACTTATGCTATATCTTCCATCGAGAATTTATTTATATGTCTATGTCGATTAGAGGTTCGAGTTCCTTCTCTTTAATTTTTGACCTTCTGAATCCAAACTAAAAAACATAAAATTGAAATTTATTTAAAAAAGAAAAAAGAGAAATTATACTACCAAAAAATAGGAATTAGCTACGGACGAATTCTGTAGCTAAACAGGAAAATTTGTCGTTAATTCTATTTAGCGACGGATTAGCGATAAAATATCAAAAAAATTTATTAGTTACAAGCAATTTAAAGATAGATTGGCGATAAACTTTGTAGCTAATTGCGATGTTAGACCATGTTTCTTGGGAGAAAATTGAGTTTTATCTTTATTTTAGGTGGGGGTAAAAGGAAATTGGACATAGAGAGATCTTCTTTTGAGACTAGTTTGTGTGATCTTACAAAATCCCCAAGCAAAGTCAGGTGGATTGATGTTAATGGGCCCTTTTACTTATCTGAAGAGTCAAGTATATAGTATAGATTATAGTGCTTAGATTAATGTGAAATTGCTTGTCCTATTTCCCAAAAAACTAATTAGAATGTCTAGCAACAAAACCATGTGCTTCTTTCCTATCATTACCAAAAAGGTTCAATAGTCAAGAAATAAAAATACTAGTGCTATATCTCAATTCTTGAATTTTCAACATTTGCCCTTTGTACTAAAACATTTTTCAGATCCAATAGTATAACTAAAATTCCACATCATAAAACAAAAGGAAATGTGTCATTCTGATAAACATATTCAAAGAAAAAGAAGTTACACAATTGATTTGATGTGCAACATACCTGTACAAATCCAGTGTTTTGCTTTGTTAATCTGGCTTTGTCCCCATCCAAGTTGTGGCCCATTCATTAAATGGTTCAGATATAGATATTAGTGGGCAACATGTGAAAGAATGGAGAGAAGGGTCCATTTTGGGACTATTAGGGGTGGGGGTCCTAGTTTAGTGAAGATATGAAATTGAAACATTATGATAAAATCCAGGACTAATTAGTTAGATTTATGGTTGATTAAGTGACTGATTAGGATATTATTAGGGGTCGTTTGGTTCAAAATCAGATTACCCTGGGATTATAATCACAATTATAATATGCGAAATATAACTAAGATAAATAATTTTGCCTTCTATATGGGATAGATAATACCATGAATTAAAAAAAAAGATAGTTCGGTATATAAAGTATCATGCATTCACACATGATTCGGGGAAGAGCCGCACCTCAAGGTATGTGATGTAGACAGTCTACCCTAATTCAAATATTAATATCGCTTCCACTGTTCAAATTCATAATATATGGTCAGACCGAGACAACTTTATCGTTACTTTAAGGTTCCCTTTTAGATAATACCATAATTGTGGTATAATATTAATCCCGATTTTAGCTAATATGCTCAGCCAAATACAGGATAAATTTAATCTCAAATTTTTATATTAGGATAACCTACTTAATCCCTTCAACAAAACGCCCCTCAAAGGTCACTTTTTAAGTAATAAAAAGTAGAATATGAAACTTGAGATGAATCATGGGCTGTCTGATATCTTTCAATAATTGGACACTAGTGATAGGACTGTCCTCTACTATAATTCTTGGCAATCATCTCCTTGCACAAGTCAATAATATAATAACAATAACAACAACCCAGTATAATCTCATTAGTGGGGTCTGAGGAGGGTAGTGTGTACGCAGACCTTATCCCTATCCTGGGGTAGAGAGGCTGTTTCCAAATGACCCTCGGCATCCTTCCCTCCAAGAACTCCCCACCTTGCTCTTGGGGTGACTCGAACTCACAACCTCTTGGTTGGAAGTGGAGGGTACTTACTATCAGAGCAACACACCTTGTCACAGTCCTTGCACAAGTCACAAAAAGGGAATTTTACTATCTTCTGACATATTTGTCAACTTCACCTTTCAGATACTTCTGCTCAGGTTCTTCCATATTTACACACATAATTCCTTTTGTTTCTGCCAAATTTTCCACTTTTACCCCTTCTTTGTACACTATCATAATAGGACATTACTAATTACTTATTCCACTGTACAACAAGACAACTTTCGCTTATTCTATTTCTTTATAATGGTGTAAAACAAAGAGAGAAGGGAGCGTAAAAAGATGTCTATCAGATAACATCCTAATTGAGGGGCGGAAACAACTACAAATATTTGTATTAGGGGTTGTCTACGTCCAGGGATGGATCTAGGATATCAGGAGCGGGGACGACGAAACCCAGCCAAATGTATATCCATATGGTCGTCAGATTGACTAACATGCCTCAATAAATCTTCACAATATTGAGGCATTTGGTCATCATATTGACTATTAGCCTACTTTTTGAGGCAAATGCCTCAATATTGAGGCAACATGTATTGAGGCATTTGGTCATCATATTGACTATTAAGCTTAATATTGAGACATTTAATATCGAGGCACAATGGCAAATGCCTCAATATTAAGCCTACTTTTTGAGGCAAATTCCTCAATTTGGTCATCATATTGAGGCATTTAATAGCTTAATAAAACAATAGCCATACTGTTTTCCTTAGAAAATAAAATATTATCTTAATGTTCACAGCTGTTCTTATAAATAATTTGACTTGGGATTTTATTTAGTACATCCTTTCAATTATCCACTTCAGTTAGTTTGCATATAATATTTTTGATAAGAGGGAGAGTTGCATTAGATTATTCACAACTGTATTTATGTATATAAGTATGATAAGATGTACTAAAAGGGCCATCCATTATTGACGGAGATTTGCGGAAATAGTTGTAACGACCGGCCAGTTATTTTGAGTATTATAGTCTCATTCCCTCATTTATTGCTTATTCTATGTTCAATTATTGTTATGTGACTTGTCGGGGTAGTTGGTTTGGTTCTGGGGAGGTTTCGGAATGAATTGGGACACTTAGTCCCAAGGTTAGAAGCTTAAGTTGAAAGAGTTGACCGAATGTTGACTTATATGAGAACGACCCCGTTGTAAAGGTTTGATGATTCCAATAACTCTTTATGGTGATTTTGGACTTATGAGTGTGTCCGGATATTTATTTGAAAGTCTGTAGTTCAATTTGGCTTGAAACGACGAAAGTTGGAAAGTTAGAAGTTTTAGAAATTGAGAAGTTTGACCAAGAGTTGGCTTTGTGGTTATCGGGCTCGGATTATGGTTTCAGAAATTTTAATAGGTATGTTCTGCCATTTATGACTTGTGCAAAAAATTTGAGGTCAATCGGACTTGATTTGATAGGTTTTGGCATCGAATGTAGAAGTTGGAATTTCTTAGTTTTCATTAGGCTTGAATTGGGGTGCGATTCGTGATTTTAGCGTTGATTGATGTGATTTGAGGCCTCGACTAAGTTCGTGCCGTATTTTAGGACGTGTTGGTATATTTGGTTGAGGTCTCGGGGACCTCGGGTTTGATTTGGATTGAATTCGAGTTGAGAATTGGACTTAGGAGATGCTGAAGCTTCAACTCTGGTGAAATCGCACCTGCAAGGGTTTTTTCCACTGGTGCGACCACGTAAAAGTGTCTCACGCATCGCAGGTGCGAGTTTGGATGGGCTACTGGACGATCGTAGGTACGAAGGGTGTGCCGCATCTGCTATCTCGCAAACGCGGAAGGTTTATTGCAGAAGTGGAAATGGAATTTGGGGACTGGACCGCAGAAGCACATGATCGCTTGCAGAAGCGCACCCGCAGGTGCGGGCTTGA